GCTATAGGAACAATCAAATAAGATAGATACAGCATTGGAAACCATTCAAAACCTGTAATAAGAGGTCCAAATGAGTCATAATAGAATATCAGAAAATGGCAATACACTGAAAGGGCAAAGGAGTAGAAATGAAGAGACAGAAGCAAGAACTAGTGAGCTAGAAGATAAATCTCTCAACACTACTAAGATAGAAGAGTAAGCACAAAAAAGTATAAAAAAATCTGAAGAAGGCCTAAGATTCATGTTGGACAACATAAAGAGAAATAATTTAAGAATTGTCGGCATTCTGGAATAGGAACAATCACACAAGTCCACAGAGGAGATAGGTGAAGAGCTTCGGGAAGAAAATTTCCCTAACATCCTGAAAAGTAAAAAGATAAGCATTCAAGAAGCTCAATGAACCCCAGGAAGGATAGATACTAAAAGAAAATCACCAAGACATATAATAATCAAGCTCTCCAAAATCAAAGATAAGGTCAGAATCCTGAAAGCAGCTAGGGAAAAGAGAAGTGTAACATTAAAAAGGCAAGCAAATCAGATTAAGCTTGGATTTCTCAACAAAAACCATGCAGGCAAGAAGGCAATGGGGTGACATATATAAAACCCTGAAAGAAAAAAACTTCCGACGAAGAATCCTCTACCCAGCAAAGCTATCAATCGAATACGATGGTGTAATCAAAACATTCTAGGATAAACAGAAGCTAAGGGATTTTGCAAAGCCAGCCCAGCTATGAAAAACCTCCTAATGGAAGTTCTGTGGATTGAGAACCAACAAGAACAGACAATAACTAGAGAATGACGTATGTGGCAGCATCACCCTGAATTCAATTGACAAACGGAAGAGTCAAGAACAGAATAAAATTATAAGAACAGAGGATCTGGGAAGTCAGTCTATGATCAAAACAATTATAATATGAAAGAAGGTAAACACAGAGGAACAGAGATCCAGGTGGTGGGAAGGTCAGGTAAATTACTGTATAAAATAGACTGTCTTAAATGGAGGAAAAGTTAATGGAATATAAGGTAATCACAATAGTGGGGTTGGGGTGGGGAGTTTAGTTTGGGTGTTGGGGAGGACAATACAAGAAGAGGGAGGA